ACAGTCATGCTATGTTCCAGTTCCTCTAGTATGCTGTATTCTACCCTGAAATCACTCTTCCTATTGTAAAGATGTCCATTTTTGTCTTTTTCTATATGTGCAAGCCTGGGAAAAAAGGTTGCCACACTGAGTAAGACACGAATACTTAGCAAAGCCCCACGATTTTCCAAGGTTAGTATCCAGCTGAGACTGTGTCAACAGAACTGTCTTAGATTTTATACAAATCACTGGTTTGTTCCTACAATTGTTTTGAAAGAAAAGCTTTCTGCAGTTAAAGACTACACACCAAAGTAACCCAAGAACTTGAACAAGAGAAAGAAGTTAACAAGGAAATTACCTCACTGACAGGCAGTGGTTCACACACTGAAATGGCCTGAAATTTTACCTGTATGCTATCAGGGAGCCTTGTGAGAATTTTCATTGGAAAGCAGACAGGCTGTATTAATGCAATTGCACACATAGATGGAGCCCCAGCCTAGACAAAACAAGTACATTCCCTCAGCCTTAACACTAGTAATAGTACTATGCAACTGAAGATTCAAATTCAAGTTCATTAGCATTTAACTTAAGATATTAAAGCTGCTATCTCACTTACTGACTATGCTTTATGTATAGTACAGAAAGCTATAGGTGACTTTTGCTTTCTTATTAAGGTCAGAAGCTTTAGAGTACAACTCAGAGCGGAATGTGCTTTGCCTTACTACAACCAGGCAGTATACTAGGGTTTGACCTGCAGAACAGCACATGCAAAATGACTGCGATACTGCAGTCCTGAGCACATCTGTGAAGTTTGGTGCCACCACATTAGAGATCAGAACAGCAGGACACTGGTGCCACAGAGTACAGAGACAACTGGTAGAATTCCCATCGTTAAGCAATGCTACTGACAGCCCAATAAACCCTCTCAGTAGCAGCTTGGTTCTTCAGCAGACTATTGCTGCTATATGGCTCAAACCCCTATACAGTGCAGTATAGGGTTCACAGTTTAAATGCTTTACTGTCCACTGGAATTCACAGACCAGATCCAAGCACCAAATCTCCCCACACAGTGCACTAGAAGCCTTCAGAGCACAACTACAGAAAGACAATGTGCTGTTAAATGGCATGCCTTGTTTGAAGCTGCTTGGGAACGTCTACATCACCCAGCAGTCAATTTTTGAGCCATAACCCAGGATCCAGAATAACCAAGGAGGACCTGATTCAGACAGCATAAAACACTGCTGTGAGACTTAAGTGCCACTGTTAATCCAGGATTCACAACTACAAACCTCTCCTTCAGCTGGGTGGCTACGTCAGCTCTTCCTCATAAAGCTCATCTGTGCAAGAAGAAACCTCCCTCTTCTTTCAGCTGCCAGCGTAGTTGTTACAGCACTTACCCAAGATGTGGGGAAACAGATTTAAATCACTTCTGTGCCTGAGCTGTCTTGAACCCCCATTTTCCAAAGCAGTGGCCGAGATATTCTAGATGAAGTACTTTCGATCTTCTCTGAGGAAGCCGTTGTAATGCTGCTGCAATTCCCCTTTTGTTGGTATGTCTTAAGGGCTTTAGATCCTTAGAAGGGTACGCACAGCTGAGTAGGAAAACTAAGAACTCGATTATGCCACACACACTTTCTTTTCTGTGCATCTAGTGCTGCAATAGCTTACTAAAGAAGATGACTGACCAAAGTCCAAATGCTCCAGTGGGCATTTTGGAGCTGATGAGCCTATCCTGAACTACTGTAACAACCACAATAATCTGCCTGAGCTCCTGAAAAGGACATCTCAGCCTAAAGGTTTCATTACCACAAATTCTTACCTTGAATCTTCAGTTATGTTACCTCCAGAACAGTATGGAAATACACTTATGATGGAGTGTTTAACTTACTGAGTTTTTAGCTTTTGTGCAGTTCTTATGAATTCAACTTTCTTAGCTTGTTCAGCTTTCATCTTCCAGTCCCAAAATTGTCGACCAGCACCTGCAGTACTGGAACAGCTGTCATTCTGTACATAACGAAATCAAGTATTATTCAAAAACAGTATTTTCTAAGTACTCATTGGTAATTTTTAAGCAGACACCACCACAGTGCAAAGTAACAGCATTACTTCAGTTTTATACTGGCACAATTCAACTAATTTTAAGTCACACAGGTATATAACTGGAGTGATGAGTGATGGCAAGCTGATGACTGTACACAAAAATGCATTCAACAGAAAAATGGAAAGACTGCAACATCAGTTTGCTTTAACAGAGGCTGCTCACCACACTGCAATACCGAATCAAGGCAACTGCCTTGCCGCTCATGGCACGCCGTCTCTGACGAGTACCTACCTACCTTACGAGAAGCATGTAATCTGCACTAGGCGGATTACCCCCATTTCATCTTCTTCAAGAAAAGCACTAGCTTAACTTCTGAAATCTGCGTAATATCCCGTGCAAATTGCCAACTCCTATTCATAGCAATGCTGAACATCCCCAGCGTAACACTGCTATTGCTGAACATCCCCAGCGTAACAGCTAGGAATACAGATTATGAAACTGCCTGTTCAGGTTATGAAGCTACCATTTTGAGCCAGCCCGGCAAACCCGCATTGCTTCCTACAGGCTTCTTTTTAATGTTTATCCCTACACCTCGTACGAGGCTGGAACTCCTCAGCGGCCGCCTCCCGGCGGGCCCGCAGAGGGGAGCTCCCCC